GCATTCCTACAGACTCAGGTGTCCGGGAAGCAGAGTGAGGGCGCTCTGAAGGGCTGGGCAACTCCCCAGGCCAGCTCATGAGCCCCTCTGCCAGGAGGGTGTGCTCAGGGACTGCCAACAGACTCAGAACATTCCAGAGGGGAGGAAGAGTAACAGAACAGACTTCCTCAAGTCCAGCAGCCAACGATGGAGCAGAACTGGGTGACAGTGGAGGGATGGCCAGACAGCTCTAAGAGGAGAGATTTCTGGGTCCACCCAAGCAGTATTTGCCTCTGGAGGTGACCCCACACACCACCCCACTACGAGTATCCGAGACCACCAAGGGAGGTTCCACACTTCCCCAAGTGGAGGTCAAGATCTCCAAGTTCGTACTATTCCAAGTCCTAAGGCTTCCAGGATCTGGGGAGCACAGGAATGCAGGAATCAGGCTAGGTACAGGGTCTGCCTTGAATACTCCATTCTATGCTGTGGTTTCAGATCTGGCACCGGCTCCTTGTAAGGAGCTACCTACCACAGGCCCCCAGAAGTCACCCGGATGTCTTTCTCAGTCACAGAAGTTTTCGAATTCCAGAAAGGAGTCTCCAATCCCCTGCGTGAAGAGCTGAGCTCACTGTCAGAAAGGAGTGTCCATGGAGTCATGTCTGTCTCACAGCTGCCACCCGCCCGGCTGTCACTGCCAGCTAACACAGAGGGAGGGCACAGAGAGCTGGTTCCATCCATCCCACTACTGGTCCAGTCCCCAGAAAACGGCGTCAGCAAATCCTGGAGGCAGTAAAAAGTACTCTCTCTTCATCGTCCTCCTGACCATTCAGTGGAAATCACAAGTGATTTTACTGTAAACCTGGGGAATTCTAGCCTCTCTACTGCTCTAATTAGACACTTGATTATGCCCCCAAATCTGTTAGTGGATTTGTTACTTTCTTTCTTCTGCTTGCACTTCAAAAGGGGCTCAGACTACAGCCTGTTTATCAATCCGTTGACCACGTTAGTGTGAAACGGGTACCTGAAAATATGTTCAGAACCACAAAGGACCCGTGCGATTCCTGCGTGACCCCCAAATCCCACACTACACACTTCAGAGGCAGCTGAGGACCAGCCTGAACGCGATCCCCACTGCACACAACTGTGCATGCCACTCGGTCGGACCATGCCGCCCCTGCAAGGGCTCCCAATTAGAAGGGATGCTGAGTTCGATTTTCTACCTGTATCGACGAAAACAGAACCAAGTCAAAGTAGTCTTTAAATTAGTGCATTATATGATATGTACTGGGTCATCAGGAAAGTCAGGGTGAGTCATGGAGTTTTCTGTTTTTTATGCAAAATGTGTCATGACCTTCCCAACAACCCAATATTTAAACAAATTTATTTAGAAATAAGACCCAAAGTCTCTTCAAACACTGACAATGGGCAGGTCTCTGTGCTCTCTTCGAAGACCAGTATTACTATTACTTATCACCAGACATACATATTGACAGGTGACATTTTCTAAGCGCGTGTTGACTGGGGGACATGCTAAGCACTTTATATCTTAATCCTCACAAATGCCCCATAAAATAGGTACCATTATAATCTCCAAAAAGATGAGCTGGCAGGTGGTGTGGTGGTTAAAGGCGCTGGACTCCCACTGGGTAGGCCCTGGTGGCTTGCTTTCTCACTTTCCTTCTCTGTCTAAACAAAATGGAAAGTAATAATAAAGTTGAGTTATTTTTTAAAAATCGCCAAAAAGACAGGGAGACTAAGACAACGGCTTGAGTACCTGGTCAACAGCCTCAAGGCAGTCAGGAGCGCGGCCTGGGCCGCACCTGGCTGGGCTGGCACCCACAGCCCCATCTCTTAGTGCCCTCAGTCACGGCCAGTGTGCTCAGTCAACGTGCCATGAGGAGGAGAGGCTTCCGTAGGTAAAGTTACCAATATGCCTTCTCACCACTCACTTTAATGAATCAATTAGTTAATTAATAATCCCTGGCCACAAAAAGCCAGAAACCCTCGTGGGATGTGCAAGGCACTACGATCACTAAACTCCTCACAACTATAATCTTACTACGGAATGGAGAGCGAGCCTGGGGCAGCGCCCAAAGGAGCCGGGCAGGGCTGGGAGGGGTGAACAGTGAGAACGTGGCAAATGGGGTTCAAGGCAGGGCTGCCAGAGCAACCTTTCCTAACACTCCGCAGTGTGCGAAGCGCCCCCACACGCCGCACCTCGTTCCACTCGTGCGGTTCTCATGTCCACAAGGCCGACGGAGAGAAGGCCCGTGACTTGCCCAAGACCACTCAGTTAAACGTGGGTGGGCTGGACTGGACCATAGCGGGTCTTCAGCTCTTGGACTCTGTCCAATAAACAGGGCTGCCTCTAAACACTCAAACCAGGGGATTCGCCAGGGGATTCCTCGAGAGTTGAACACTCATCAAAAATCATGAAGCCAGATCTATTTCCCTCCAACCAGCAGGGAAAAGGAGGGAGGGGGAAACCCTCTCTACACAGAACTGTGCAGTCACAAACAGCGAAGAAAAGTTATTAGCAACCATCCACCTCATTATCTATCCAAAATTAGCTCCAATTCAGGAGAAAAACCAGCTCCAGGCAGCAGCAGGCGGCTCGAGCCTGACTCACTGCCCGCCTCTCGTTACCAAGGGCTTTCAGACAACATGAAAGTGCCCACCGCCCCAAGTCAGGAGGTCAGCAAATGCATGACTGATCTAGTCAAGTCTCACTGGTATTTCAGAAAAACAGCCTCCCATCCCTCCTGCCTCCCCTCCATCTCTTCCATCGCCGTCTTCTGTGACTGGGCTGAGACCTCAGTCTTGAGACAGTTGTTACTGGGTGGCCGGAAAAGCCATGACATATTGCTCTATGCAAAAATGTGCCACTTTTCCGATGACCCGGTAATCCCACACTTTGGCTCAACAATGGTACAGCGGGGAGGTCCATGGTGGCTAGTGGCTTTGGGAGGAGGAGGAACTGGAAGCTGGGCGGGACGGGAGTGGCAGGCGAAGCATTAGAAATGGAGGCAGGCAGAGCCTAACGTAAAATTGCATAACTGGGACTGGGGGATAGGGGCCAAGATGACAGCTGGGCAGCAGCGGGAAAGGAGCTCCTTGGCAGGGAGCACTCGATGTGTAGATAAGCAGCAGAGGGTGAGAAGGAAAAGGGAACACAGACCAGCAAGCTGAGCCCAGTGCTGAGAAAACTGTGCTTACAAATGGCCCAAGGAAGGGGGGTGGGGGGTCATGACTGGTGTTTTGTACAACCCAATTCTCACCCACCTCCAGGGCAACCTCACAAAACAGGAAATAAAACTAACCTCTCCCCTTCTCCCTCAGCTGACTACTGTCAAGAGTGAACTTTTAAAAAATTAAGAGGTTTTTTGCTACAAGGGCAGAGACAGAGAGAGATACAGAGACAGAAAGCAAGAGACCACCCCCCACCCCAGGAGGGATGGCCACACCACAATCCCTTCTCCTCCATTTTCCTCTTGGGATTTTGGGCACACACGGACATGCACCTGGCATGAGTTTTATGGTACCAGGTCTGGGATTCGAACCCCAATGGACTACATGAGAGTCCAGCGACGTAACCATCATGCCATATGCTGGTTCCAAGGCTGAGTCTTTAAGTCTTGCTTGCTTTTGTCACCTTGGAGGGGGGCAGGGAGGGAAGAGGACAGCTGTTCTCTTCCAGGCCCCTCTACACTACTCCCTTCATGCCTCACAATAGAAGAAATGATCAGCCGAGGGCAGAAGAGCATTTTTTTTTAACCTGTCTTGGTCACCGCGCACCCCCCCCCAATGCCTTAAATCATCTGCCTCAAGAAGACGTGAGA